AAAAGGTGTTGGAGGTCTGAATCCGGACTGACAGTTAGGATGCTGGTGTGTGGATTCAACTCCCCTCGTGATTCTGAATCCAGCTTTCTGATAATACAGACCCTGGCAAAGCAGCAAAGATGATGGACTCAAGTGATGGACTCCTGCAGCCTTAAAGAAGACGTCTGCTGAGTTCCATAAGCATCACCAAGTCTCACTTATATTGGCACTCTGGGAATGAACCTCTGGATGTAACTTCTATTTTACTCCCTTTTAAATTAATTAATAAATTAGATAATTAAAATTTTAAAAGCGAATAGATTCAGTAATCATCCCATTTCTTTTCCTATAAGCTTTTTTTGCTTTTTTTTTTTTTTGTAATGGAATTTTCAACACACCTACTGCTATTTTTGAGCGGCCAATAAGGTCAGGAATGAGTACTATCTAAAAGCTCCTCTTGTCTGAAAGAAGCACTTAGAAGTTCATGGAGGTAAATGCCACAGGAGCAGAAGATTGCTAAAATAGCTGCAAATTTTGTAGGCTGTAAATAGCATTCACAAGGAAAAATTTGGAAAATGGATTAGAAAAACAAAGCACTTTAAACGTACATGCTAAAGCAAATATCTAAATCTTCTCAAGGAAAAACGAGATACATGCGTATTCATGTTTTGTTTTGGATATTTTCTCTAAAGTTACAAAACTACATGTTATTTTTTTTAATTCACATTAATTTTGCAAAATTCATAATACTCAATGTGGAAAACCATGATTTTGATATCTTATTCTACATTCCCATAGAATTTATTCATGTATGTTTTATACAGAACTCTAAAATATTTTAAAGAAGCCTGTTATATAAAAGGACAGATTTGATATGTAATAATTCCAGCATCTGGCTCGCTGCCAAATGGCTTATGCATGTTCTTGCTATAACAGCCTTACTATTTCACGTTAAGGAGTGAGAGGTTGTTGAGGCTAATGAGCTCCCCGAAAGTCACAATGATGGTTGGGACACTGTTCTCTTTTGAGTCTTTAAACATCTCTAGTACACATGCTTTTCATTTCATGTGCTGCCTTTCATGTGTACAATATATCTAACACTCTAGGCTGAATAATATACAAAGCCCTGAAGCTTATATTCTGTTGTCCCTATCTGATAACTAGAGAATAAAAGATGAGGAAACCGAGCTATATTGAGTTCTCTGATTTGTCTAAAGTCTTGAAAATCACCAATCGTAAAGTAATAATCTAAATCACATCCTCTGCCTTCCTCTCTTCTGTCCGTTCAGTGATGTTGCTTTTCTGTAACACTGCTCTGTACAACCGCTTTCTTCCGCTTCTTTGTCTCACTCTCTATTTGTAGTGTGTTTATTCCATGATATTAAGGTAGGCCTTGGGCAAATGAGCCACTGTAGTTTTAGGCATGAACTTTATATCAGTTATTGTACTGGTTATACTACTTGACAGAATTTGCTTTCCAGATAGTAAATGCTTTTCCCTGTCAGTTGGCATAGGATAAAGTATTTGGCATTTATGTTATAGGCAATGAGTTGTCCCTATAAAGATTATCAGTAGTGCATGAGGGTACCAGAGTTGAATTTAAAAAGGAACTATGTTAGGTATATGAAGGATAACTGAGGGAAAAATACACAAGTGAGCATGAGAACCAGGACTGGGGTTGGGCTTGGCTAGACAGGCAGTGGCACCCACTGGCATGGAATGTGGACTGGAGAGTGGAGTTGGTTGGGTTGAGTTGGGCTTCAATGTCCAACGATGTATATGAGAGCTCAATGGGACATGTGGCAGACCTGACTAGTCCACTGCACATACTGGTAGGCACAGAAACCGGAGCTCGGGGGCCAGACCGGCGGGGGGGGGCATTATTGGATGTTGCTCTGACTGGGCTGCAGCTCCCGCTGCTGTATGTGAGGGCTGAGCAAGTGTTGAAAGGGCAGGGCCACAGCATCCATTGGTTTGTTGAGGATGGAGGGCAGAACAAACTGATCAACTACCCCAGTGAAGCTTGACTCCCAATTTATGGGCCAATGCAAGACTCATAGGTGGACTGAAACAGCCAATCGACCTCAGAAGGATTTCCTCATCCCTGGAGCAGCAATATCAGCAGCATCGCAGAACTGTTGAAACCACATGAGCAGAACCCTCAGAAAATGCTCCACAGAGGGGACCCTGTGATACATCGGGTGGCAAGTCTCCAATACCCTGGTAATGTGGCGATTAGGAGGCTGGGTGTGGTTTCTCCTCTTGTATCCCTCTCATCCCATATACAGGAAGAAGAAAAAGAAAATATGGAAAGAATTGTCTTACCCACTATCCCCTGATTCTTGAAGTTCCCTACCCTGTTCAACTATGTAAACATGATCAAAAGAAATTTAAAGGGAAAAAAAGGCAAGGGAGGGAGGGTGGTGAGAGGAAGAAAGGAAGGAACAAATGAAAGAAGAAAGAAAAGAAGCATAGAAGGGAGAGGGGAAAAGAGGGAGAAAAAACAGACGGGCACGTGGCATAACAGCTGCTGTCCCATAGGAGCACCTCTTCTCGTCTTGGATTCCTCTCCTCCAATCCTGGTCTCTGGTAATGTGCCTGATGCCTGAGAAAGTAGCACTTGGGCCCTTGCCACGCACATGGGACACTTGGGTAGAATTCCAGGCTCCAGGTTTCAGCCAGGCCAAGCTGTTGTGGCTGTTTGGGAAGTGAACCGGCAGTTGGAGGATATCTCTCTCTCCTTCTCTCTCTTTCCTTTTCTCTCTCTGTATTTTTGTCTGTGTCGGTGTGTGTCTATCTCCCACTCTTTCAAATAAATAAACCTTTCAAGCAAACAAAAAGAAAAGTACAAAAAAAAGACACAAGTCTAGAATGTGCCTTCAGCTATGTAGGAAGGAGGTGAGAGCGAGCGTGCACAGGTGGAGAAAGCTGTCAGAAACGCACCCAAAGCCGTGGCGTTAGGAAAGCTAGCAGTCTCATCATACTATTTGGGAACAAGGAAATAAATGGATTTAACTTGGTATGTTCACGGCAAGCCCTCTAGATTTAAAAACATGCACATGAGGGATTGGTGTTTAGATCTGCCCTATGGTGTTTTTCTTTAAGATGCGTAGTTAGATTTGCTTTTATGAATATTTTGACCCAAAGAAGCAAAAGTAATGCAAAGATAAGGGAGATCACCATCAGAGAAAAAGAAAAAAATTAAAAACTGCTTTTGTTTTTCTAACGGTAGTTAAACGTGTGATTTTTACACAAAGATCAGTTTACGACCCAGACACTACTGAAAAAAAGTCCAATTTCCAGACACCACTGATTATTTCTCCCTACTCTACTGGGTAATCGGCTATTCCAGAATATTCTTTTCTGTGAACTGAACTGAATTAATGATATCATCAGTCTCATGTAGGATGCAATGATGTCATTCATACAAAGCAGTGGAGGACCTTGGGAAGAGTATGTGCCCACGGTGCAGACCACAGCAACTTTTATTATATCTCAATGAGTATTTGACTATAGAAAGCACTGAAAGATGTGGATATTATATATATAAAACTTACACTGGTATTCTGGGAGCTACAGTACAACTTAGTAAATTACATTTTTGGCAATGAACATCAGTATATGAATCCAATGACTATACGGTATATTGTTTTTAAATTATATATAGCAGTTTCTTAGTGTTGAAAATATCTTCAAAATGAATCATTGGCATCTTTTGCAAAATTAAAGAACTAAAGATAACTGCTTTTCAAAAACATTTTTATACATTAATAACATGGAAAATTTTTCAAATAAAAAAGACACAGTTTATAAAATACAAGACAAAGCTTATAATGTACATAGTTATTTAAGCTAGACAAAAACAGATACACACTTCCAAATTGGATTATCCATTTCATCAAGTTTGGAGGAAACAGAAAGCTATAGTATTTCACAGTTTAATAAAATAGAACAAATAGGAAATTTATTTTTGACAGAAAATTATCTTCGACGGAAGTGCAATTTTGACTTTAACCCAACTATGCACAGTGCAGTTCTCCAGCTGTAACATTTTTGGAAAATTTAGGTGGAATTGGGGGTAGAATTAAAGCATGTTATATTTCTGTGTAGGTATTTATATTGCCAAAAGCTTTAAGTCTATATTCAGATGCTTGTTGAAATATTCTCATATATACATGATTTTTGTCAATCAGCATTCTTCTCCAGAAACAAGACATTAAGAGGAAAAAATTTCACTTTCTTAGAATTATGACTATTTTGCCATCTCAGTTTAATCATTCTTCTTAGTAAGTCCTTATAAATAGGTTGGAAATAAGGCTTGTTGCAGAAAATCTGCCTTTTAAATGATATTAATTTGACACATAGGAAAATGAATTTCTCTAGGGAGAGGATAAAGGAGAGAGAATTTCTAAACTTCTAGTCTGAAAAACAGGATATGAGACAAGCCATTTAATTCCCTTTACACTATTGACTGCAGTCTTCATTTGAACCTTCGTTATAAATAGTATAGTAATCCTTTAGCTGTCTTTCAACAATTAATATGAACCTTCTTCAAGTCTATCTCTCTGCCAAAAAGCAATCATTGAGTTCTATTTATTCAGTGTAATGGACATGTATTTCATTTTAAATAAAACCATATAAGCCTGACTCTATTTACATGAGAAATAAATGTCATGTTCATTCAGGTACATAATGCTATGACATGGAGATATTGCAGTTATAAAATAATACAGTCTTTAACAATGTCATTTTGAAATAACTGATAAAAGGAATAGATGCATGAAACATTTCAGCAAACAAATTACCAGATGTCCTTAAACAATCCAAATGGCATGTTCAGTATCTCATTCTGCTGGAATAACTTATAAAATCATAAACAGCTGATGCGTAGTTCCTGTAATTAATGTTCAGCAGTTAAAAATGACAAATCAATGTTCCATTGAGCCCCATGATTATAAAATAGTGGGCATCCACGCCATTTGCATGGCATAACAGGTAACGTTAAAAAAATATATACACAACTACACGTACTGACTTTTGGAGTAGACACTCGGTGACTTCTTTTCCGTGTGATAACTCTTTTGGGTTGTGCGATGGGAAGGTATTGAGTATCTGTAGCTACTGCTCTTCTCAGCACAGCAAAATCCACAGCAGAACAATGTCCCTCCAGCAATCAGCAGCAGGGAGGTGGCCCAGCCTACGTAGAGGGCATCTCCAAGCTCACGTTTCTGGGCCACATTCACTATGGGATTGTAGAAATCTCGGATGATGGCATGGGCAACCCAGCTCACGGGGATGAGTACCAAGATACCTGTGACAATGAAGATGATCCCGGTCGTTAGCAGGATGTGACCTTTCACCTTCTCGTCGTCCCCAATGCACCTGGTGCACTTCATCCCAATGATGGCTGTCATGAAAGCCAGGAAGCACAACACGGAGGCAGCACACATCAGTCCTCTAGATGCCTGCAGATCCGGAGAAAGAGCCAGCAGGGAATCGTAGATTTTGCACTGCATCCTGATGTTAGCATGCCTCATGCAGCTCATCCACAGGCCTTCCCAGCGGTTTTCAAAAACCACAATGTTGCTCTCAATGAAGGCAGACACTCTCCACTGAGGCATGATGGTGACAGCCAGTGTGCCCACCATGCCAACACCACCAAGCACCAGGCCAGCGATTTGCAGGATGTAGGTAGCCATTATCCGCTGGAATGGATTTTTATCTGACAGTTGTTCAGAAGCAGGATTCTCTGTGCCTGAGTAGAGAAGAGTTCTCCACAGTCCCAAACTCAGAACCCAGTAGCTTTTCAAATAAGAGCTGCTTTGCTACTTCTAGCAGATTAAATCCAGTGTTGGCCGGCTGTGGTATTCACCACACCCCCTCCCCTACTGACTACAAGAGGGAAACTTACAAATCAGGTGTGGCAACTTTCTCAGCCAATAAGGGAGTTGGGGGGGGATGGTAACTCAGGTGTGTCAAAACCAACCAGAGATACTTGGAATGGCTGGACCTGCACATAAAAATTCTTTGTACTTATTTTCCAAGAAGATAGCAGTGTGTTTACCCACAGGCATAATTACAAATGTTTGCACAATCATCAAGGAATGAGCCAATGACATGGGCTGTGAAACAGTGCACTTTGTACAGGCAATTTCTGTAAAAGCTGTTGTGACCCAGGTATGAAATAAAATATCTGCCTAAGCAATCTTCAAGGACTGTCAAAATGCCAAAGTGAAAGGAGAGGAGGGCACTGATGGGCGGCTCATACCTGAGAAAACCACATTCTTGGACCACATGTGATCCAAGTAGTTGATTTAATTTGTATGCACCTTTAAAGCAAGCCCTGCTAGGTTAAAGTCAGGGAAAAGACAAAATAAAGCTAAAATTCTTCTCTTTGAAATCAAATACACTGACACTTTTTTTTTTAAGCCAGGAAAACAACTTGTTGGTATTTTTTCTGGCCATCTTGATTTAAAAAAAAAAAAACAACGAAAAGCCAGATGAGTTTGTTTTAATGCAGCAAACGTTAAAACACTTAAATCTTGAGTGACATACAGCTTGCTGGGTTATTTTGTCTCTGTATCTTTGTAACCTTTTTGCTTGATCTTCCTAGCTGACAAAGCTAGAATGTCGCAGGCGGAACAAAGTCTTTGGTCTATGCAAATGCCTGCCAGGTTTAAATCAATTTAGAGGACACAGTAACTACATTCGCTGAAACAAAAACATCAAGTTCAACCAAAACTGTCTTTCTCATTTTTTATATTATATCTGCAAAGGGTATAGAAGTCTCCATGTAAGAGACCGTTTGAACTGTGCCATCTCAAACGACTGATGATGGTAGTAGTTATTTTAAAATGAGCAGAAGCCGATTTGCAAACACTCCCCTAGCAAAAAATTTTCTTCTGGAGATCAACGGACCTTATCATTCCAAATTCTCGAATCCATACTTTAACTTTCTCCCCCACCATCAGCCCCATAAAACGTGTTTCTCCGTATCTTCACGTTCTCTGCTTTCTTGTGTAACTTGAGTCTAACTGTGGCTTAAGTGCTTTCTGCTCACATATTATACTTGAAGGATTCATGGTCCAAAAAAAATCCAAGTGGCTTATGAAAATTATTGAAACATAAACTCCACGTGGTGGGGAAGAAGAAGAAGTTGCCAAAGTAGATGGTCTCTTAAAACTAATTCCTATATCACCATGCATATTGTTATTATTTTATTCACCAAAGATTTTAAAAGAAAAAGCAGGAACTCAATATTTGCAGTCATCTCATTTGTTGACTTGGGAAGGCTCAACTGCAGAAATCATCTGCAATGCACACAAAAAAATAAATTAAATAGAAATAGCAGGTGTTTTGTACTTTTTTTTGTTTGCTTTGTTTTGTTTTTTTGAAATGAAAGAGAGTAAAGAGAGATCCTGTTCTCTGATTCATTCTGCAAAGGCCCACACATCTTGAGACTCCTTTAGGATAAATCAGGAATGGATGGGTGAGGGACACAGACAGTCAATCCAACATCCCACAAAGTGGCAGGAATTCAGCTAATTCAGCCAGGATTTGACACCTCCACTCTGTCACGGAATGTTGGCATCCCAAGAAGTGGCCTCATTATGCCAAACACTCCACTTCTATTTTTAAACTTCAATTGCCAAACCGGCAAAGAGTGTGACTAAATACAATTGGAAAATGAAAAGAAATGAATATAAATGATTAAGACAAGGAAGCACTCTCCATATATGCATTCACATACACTCACATCCATATGTATTACATATATATATACACATTAGATACAGATATAGATGTACATATAGAAAGGTGAGCTTCTAATCAGGCAATGATCCTGGTCACCTCAGGGTATTTTAAAACAATCATGTCCTAAGGGTCAAAGAAAATGAAAAAGGAAGGAAAAAGTGAAATTAATGAGATTGTCTGGGACAGAGATTTTTAAAATGAGAAAAAAAGGTAACTATTTAGCTTCTCTTCTGTCCAATGAGATGACTACCTTGGTTACAAAATGCATGTAGTGCTAATGGTTAGAAACATGGTCGGTCAGCAGTATTTTTATTGACCTTTAATATTACAATGGCAAAGTAATCTGGACTGTTTGTTTTATAATTGTACTTGCATCTTTATAAAGCACCGAGTACTACCAAGAACTCAAGAAAATATCATCTGTTCTAGTTAAGGTGCTACACCCTCTCCCTTGGGAAATCTCCTTTTATCTACATTATCAGAAGAATATTTTATGTTGATCTATTAAACTTACTGAATTGCCTTTAACCCAGATCAATACTGAGCAGTTCAGCTTCTTCCTCCTCACACGTCACACACAACGTCACCAACATGCTGTCCTTCTTACTCTTTCCTGCACCTTTATTTCCAAACATGTAAGCGTTAGCATCCAAATGTGAACACAGCTTGAAAAAAAAATGCGTTTCTGTTAAATAGTTGCTAGTTTCTACTGTCTTTGTTTTTGAAGGTGTCTGTTGTATTGAGGGCTTACAACTTGTATTTATTTTTCATGGTTAATGAATTATACTTGGTTGACCATGTTGGCTTGTGAAAACCATTTAATGTATCAATAGACAACTTTGTTCTTCCTAAAGTAGCAGTACGCATTGCTTACAAGCTCTTTTGAGTCACAGTTTTGTCTTTCTTGACAATCAGATGTTCTACGTTTTCAGCATTGAAATTGTCTTAGGCCCCTGTATTAGAAGTCCTTTATTTCCATTGCTCCTGTGTATATCCAGTTGTTCTGCATAGATAGATAGATAGATAGATAGATAGATAGATAGATAGATAAGCTCCTGCCAATGTTTTACCTGGTGTACAGTGTGTTAACAAAAGACAAAAGATCAGGTGAGCTAAGGAAATTGGTCTGAAGCCTAGAAGTGGCAAGATGATCTGGTTCTCAGAAGGCACCATTTGCTTGTGGAGACAAGGCAGAGTAGGCAATTCTTCTGTGTTATCACATGATGGAATGCTGGAGTCCAGCTCCATCCGAGTTCGGAGCTCGGGAAGGGTGCGTGAAGTTGGCGATAAAGAAAGACACAGACACAGACACTTGGTGCGTTCTCACAGCAGCTCAAGAAAAAGCTGTCCTTTGTATTTACTGAAACACCTCACGAGCTTCTGCACAAGCAACTAATTATTCTGTTTTTACTTCAAGACTAAGGGGGCATGTACAGACATTTGGTCATTCTGTCTGCACTTCAAGGCTAAGCAGGTGCCCCTAAAGAGAGTTCTGCAAAATATTGTCTTCATATTCTTCAAAGCAAGCCATTATTTATTCTTCAACAGTAGCCATGGAGCAACAGCCAGGACTCCAAGGCCAAGGCACATGTGATTACCTGCTAATCAGTAGTACATTCCTACTACGTTTTTATTTCTGTAATTTACCCATTATTTAATGGGAAAATAGGTTACAAGGGAAAAAATCTAAAATCTAAAACAGAAACTTCAAATGTTAAATCCCCTACAACTATAGACTACTACAACCCCAGAAACAATAAGACAATAATCAAAAGCATTTTTCTTTAATGAAAGCATCCTTAATTCCTCTTGCTAAAAATTATAAAAGCAGCTAAAACAATTACATTTCCTACACTCCTAAAAATTGCAAAGATAAGCTAGCCTTTGAGATAACAATAACCATTTTTATTGCCATAGCAGTTTCAGCTCTCACTCCCTTCACTTCCATTACTTTGTAAAATTCTTATTAAGCCATTTCCCAGAAGGCATGCTATATGTCTGTGCCTGATTTCAGGGCAATGGGTAGGTACAGATTATGTCCAGAAATGGCATGGGCTAAGGCCCACTCACCAGGGCATTATCAATAACATTAACTCTCAAGCTCATGTTGGTGGCAAAAGCCATCCCATAGGGGCAAACAATGCCTCAATAGATTACAGAATTCTTAGTGGGGTGCTTGAGTGTCCATGCAAAAAGGTAGGTAAAACTGTGTCAGAGAGAAATCTGCTGGGCCTTGCCTAACAGCTGGAAGCTCCCCGGGGCCCTGCAACACAGAGGAGCTGTTCTCTTCACACCTTCGTGCCATCCACACCCACTGCACGGACCCCAGCAATGGAAAGAGAAAGTAAGTTATAGTTTCTCCCTCTTCTAGCATACTAACCATCCATCACACAGGCTTCACCTGCAGGCACTGATTTGAACCAAATTATGGCCCAAAGGTCACATCCAACTACCATGATGCTGGGGACTAATGTTTTAATCCGTTCCTTTTTTAAAAGTGCACAAACACATCATCTATAGCATTTAGCTGCCAACAAATACAAATGAATAACTGCATAATCTAAAGGCTTATTCTTACTGCCCTAGAACTCAACTCATTAATAAGCCTCCAGCATAACAATAATGACTAATTTTTAAAGATTGATTTTACATGAAAGTCAAAGTTACAGAGAGAGAGAGAGAGAAAGAGAGAGATTCCATCTGCTTATTCCCACCCTCCCAAAAGGCTGCAAGGGTGCAAGCTAAGCCAATCCAAAACTAGAAGCCAGGAGTTTCTTCTGGGTCTCCCATGTGGATGCAGAAGCCCAAGATCTTGGGTTACCCTCCACTGGTTTTTCAGGGAGATGGATCAGAAGTGGAACAGCCCTGGCTCAAACTAGCACCCACATGGGATGCTGGCCACAGGTGGAGGATTAGCATGCTACATCTATCCACCAATCCTGAAAATAAACTTTAAAATGGATAATAATGATGGTGAAGATTAAAATGATTTCTTGCTTTTTTTTACCAACTTTTTATTGCATTTTAAAATATTAATATT